TATGACGACCTCAAGTCAAAGGATCAATCCCACTACCGAACGTTAGAAATTAACCGCTAACACTCAGATAGTTATCCATGTGGAATCTCTAGGTGGGTCTCCAATGTTTTGTTCTATAACAAAACATCCACGTGTTCATTCAAGTGTCACCACACTTTATTTTGTGAGATGAGCTACTTACTTCACAAGTATGAAATATCATACGTGATGGTCTATCCATAATAACGATATCCGTATCTTATTATTACTTAAAACCACGAGCGATTTAAGATTCAATCATATGTAATTTGTATCTCACAATCATAACTCTTTGTGATTAAAAAATTACGAAGATTTGAATTTACGGATTTTAATATTTAATTTAATTTCCATTAATTAAATAATAGATATGTCATTAAATTGCATTAATTATATATTAAAGGTATTTATGTCAAAGGTTGATTAGACCTAGGGCATGACACTTACATATTACTACGAAATATGCCATGTATGCAATTATGTTTATCCATGTTCAATTTTATGGGCTTGGACCACGTTTAACTATTGGGCCATTTTAACATGAGCAATATCGGTCATATTCTCCAAATTTATAGACATGTCTAAATGGGCCTTCCGCTCCGGCCTCTGAATCTCTTAAAGCCCTTTTTGTTTTTTGTAATCCCTTAAATTAAAAATTTAAAAAGTAATTCCATTCTTTTTGTCTAAATGGACCATTGTCCTTGATTTGTAGATGCAAATGGCATGATAAATAGAAACGATAGTCCGTTATAACCTTTAATTTTAGCTATGGGTACGATAATTCTTAATCATTCGGAATAAAGAGATTGACATAAGATTATGTTTGACGAAGTTTATTAAAAGTAACTTTTAAATTTAGCTAAACACACTTGTAGTCTTGAAAGTTACTTTAAGTGTTTTTCCAAATAAGCTTTTTCTCTTTTTATCTTTTTATCTTTTTTTAGTGCAAAAGTTGGCCTTCGACAAAGCTTAAAGAAGTTATGCATTTATTTGAAGTTACTTATCTTGTTAACACCTTATGATTAACCAAGTAACCAACTCTAGTTTTAACATCAAGATCAAAAGAATTGTCTTGACAAATTAAGTTTTGGCTGAATAATCTCTTTGGACAATATGACCAAAAAAACAGCCATCGAATGTATGAATCGAATAGACAAAATTGAACCATGTGGAAAGGGAAGTGACGTTAAGATAGACTTAGATAAGAAAAGCTGGCGATATAAAAGTCTTCTCGTCTTTTGGCAGTGGGGAAAAAGTCGCCCAAACTTTATTTTTAAATTCATAACTTGAAAGTATATAACTTGACATTATTGGACTGGATTAAAAAGGAAAATTATCAATCAATTCTATTCGGTGGTGTCTAATACAACATCAGTTGACAAGACTAGACGATTCATTGATAGATCTAAGATTTCGAACAAAAAGTTTGTGGTTATACCAGTGACCAAGCGTTTCCTCCATTTTCCAATCATTTATACTCAAGTCATTTTCTACATCGTTGCATAATGTGAGTTGAAATATCAAAATCATAATATCAATCCTTTATTAATGTGCCAATTCATAATGGTCTCATTGAATAAAGGGGGAAGTCACGATCAATTTGAGGTCCCATTACTATTGCATTCAATTCTTCCTACTCCTTTCTTTTCTTCTTAGTTAGGACAAGAGTGTCTGTATGTGTTTGTAAGATAAATCTTCAAAAACTTAACCCTCATACAGTCGAATTAATCTACCTTAATTAGTGTTTGAAAATTAATTTCTAAAAGAGCTTTCTCTGAAATCAAATTAGATCATTTTCCTCTAAAACCCTTCAAACTAGAAGATGTACTTATATAAAATGAATCAAACGAGCTCAAAAACTACTCTTGGAACTCAAAAGCTTCTCTTTGCTTTTTTAAAAATCATGCTAAACGAGTCTATGTCGGCACACTAATGTTCAATCATTCATTCATTTGTATGTTGATCCTTTAGCAAACACTGCATGTTATGTGTCTTGATTGATTAATAGAACAAACTACATATGCCTTGTACCTACCTTAATTTGGTGCATGATTTTTAAAATTTTCTTTTTATTATTAATATTTATGTACAAAATTAATTAAGAATAGCATCGGTAATTATTTTATAAGTAACTAGTTTCTCCTCTCCAGCTAGTTAATTAGTTGTTAAACATTATAAATGGTACGTAGTGTCATTAAAAAAAAAAAAAGACATGATATACATGTGGGCCCATTTAAAAACTTAAACTTATTAAATCATTTAACATCATATTAGAGCAAGCAAAATTCTTAAATTCAAGTTTTGCTACTATCCGTTTAATGAACCCGTGTCCGACTATGATTAAAAAAATATGAATCGA